CGCCGCGGTGCCGTCCTGGCGGTAGTCGGTGAGATGGAGGAGGCCGAAGAGGCGGCCAAGACAAAGGCTGATGCCGAGGCGGCCAGGGCAGCTAAGTCTAAGGCCGGTACCTCTGGGTGAAGGATGTCGAGGCTGAGGCTGAAGACGCCCCTCCCGAGGAGGCTTGATTTATATTTCTTTGTTTTTCCGGCCTGTGTGTCGTGGTGCTGACTGGGTGTGGTCTGAACACTGATTTGCTATGTTGTTTTGTTTATGCCGATCTGGCTTTTTGAACGGATTCATCCTTAAATTGTTTTCGGTTGCCAATCTTTTTTTTATCATACTCTTTTTACTTGAATGGCTTTTGATAACTTATGATTATTGAGCTCGTCTTTTTGAAGAATATATTCAATTGAGATTGGGAAGGCTGCGACGCCTAGGTTTCGATGGAGGGCTTGACACGGCCTCAAGGTCAAGAAAGGTATGAGCTCGTACGAGCCAGCGGCGCACGAGCACCACGAGCTCGGCACTTGTTCATTACTTGGCCGAGCCTCGAGATTGGGCTCGGCGCTATTAATTACGGGGCCGAGCTCGTGGTTGTGCTTGGCACTTGTTCATTACTTAGCCGAGCCTCGAGATTGGGCTCGACGCTATTAATTACTGGGCCGAGCTCGTGGTTGAGCTCAGCACTTTTTCATTACTTGGCCGAGCCTCGAGATTGGGCTTGGCGCTATTAATTACGGGGCCACATTACCTGTCTGGCCTGCTTGTTGAGTGGGAGTGCGGTTTGGCCTAGTCGAGCTACGCGCTTGAGCTCGCACTTTACACTTTTGTGGGGTGCCGACCAGGTCATCGTACTGTTCATGGCCGACACTGATCCTTACGTTTTTTATGAGGTGCCGAACAGGTCATCGTACTGATCCTGGTCGACACCGATCCTTACGTTTTTACGAGGTGCCGACCAAGTCATCGTACTGATCCCGGCCGACATCGATCCTTACGTTTTTATGAGGTGCCGACCAGGTCATCGTACTGATCCTGGCCGACACTGATCCTTACGTTTTTATGAGGTGCCGACCAGGTCATCGTACTAATCCTGGCCGACACCGATCCTTACGCCGCTTCGACTCGATCTATGCCTAAATCTCCGATCTATCGGGAATAATAAGAAATTACATTTTTTGCAACGTGTCACTTCATTACAAAACATGATTACAAGTAATTACAATGGATCAACCTAGACCTATTGATAGAACTTTTTCAGGAATGCCGAGTTCCATAGGTATTGGTGGGGGGTGCCGTCGAGATGTTCGAGACGGTAGGCCCCATGAGGGAGGACCTCGCTGATTTTATATGGCCCTTCCCACTTTGGCATGAGGGGTCCGAGGTCGGGCCCCGTCACCCTTTTGAGCACTAAATCGTCGACCTGGTACGAGCGCGGTTTAACTTGGGAGTTGATGTATCTCTCACTCCGCCTCTTGTATGCCGTATTTTTTTAGCTCGACCTGCATCTGATGTTCGTCGATCAAGTCCAGATTGGCCCTCAGCGACTCGGAGTTGGATTCCTCCTCGAAATTGGTTACCCGAAATGTTGGGGCACCGAGCTCAACAGATATCATTGCCTCAGATCCATACGCCAGGGAGAACGGCATTTCGCCAGTTGACGATCTGGCCGTGGTGCGGTAGGCCCAAAGCACGCCCAGGAGCTCTTCCGTCCAGGCTCCTTTTGCGGCTTCAAGTCGGACCTTGAGCCCTTGTTTGATTATATTGTTTACGGCTTCGACCTGACCGTTCGACTGGGGGTGGTAAGGTGTCGAGAAGAAGTGTTTGATGTTGTACTTTTCACAAAATGTCTCCAGCTTCCTCCCTTCGAATTATTTGTCGTTGTCGGTGATGATCAAGTTCGGCACTCCGAATCGGCATATGATGGACTTCTATAGGAAATTTATCATCTTCTGCTCGGTTATGGTGGCAAGCGGTTCGGCTTCCGCCCATTTCGTGAAATAGTCCACCGTGACCACTGCATACCTCACTCCACCCTTTCCGGTAGGTAGTGGGCCGATCAGGTCGACACCTCACCTAGCGAATGGCCAAGGGCTGACGATTGATTTCAGGGGCTGCGATGGTTGGATGATGTTGGGCGCAAAGGTTTGGCACTTCGTGCATCTCCGGGCTAAGTTTTAGAGCGTCCTTCTTTAGACTCGGCCAGTAATAGCCTTGTATAAGGGCCTTGTGCGCGAGGGCGTGCCCTCCTAAGTGGTTCCCACATACGCCTTCGTTGATTTCTTTAAGTATGTACTCGGCGCTCTTTTCATCTACGCATTTGAGTAAAGGTGCCGAGTAGCCCCGTTTGAACAGTTCACCGGCCACGATTGTAAACTGAGCTGCCCGAGTACAAAGCTGTCTGGCCTCTTTCGGGTCAGACGGCAACGCACCGGTCTCGAGATACAAATGGACCGGGACAATTCAGCCCAGGTCTTGGTCCTCCACCCCCTGCCCGACACTTAGCACAGAGGTGTCGAGCACGGACGGTTGTTCCTTATGTCCGACCTGGACATATTCGACGCTTCCACCCCGGCACTTGAGGCGAGACGAGCCAGGGCGTCGGCTTGCACGTTCTCCATCTGGGGAATATATTCTATTTTTGTCCGGAGTTTGGTCAGCTTCTTCTTCACCAGCCCCAGGTACGGGACCAGTCTTGGTTCTTTCACTTCAAACTCTCCGGATATCTGTTTGACCATCAGCATGGAATCTGAGTATATGATGAGGTCGGTTAGGCTCATGGCCTCTGCCAAGGCGAGCCCGGATAGCAATGACTCATATTCAGCTTCAATGTTGGTCGCCGGGAAAAGATATTGTATCGAATGACATAATAGCTTCTTGTGGGGATCTACAAGGACGACTCCTCCACCTGCTCGTCCGGCAGTAGAGGACCCATCCACGTACATCACCCACGGCTGCTCGTTGGTTGTGTCTTTAAGTCCCTGCGTGAACTCGGCTATAAAGTCCGATAGTACCTGCCCCTTTATTGTTGTTCGGGGTCGGTAGTGAATGTCGTATTGCCCCAGCTCCACCGCCCACTTTACCATCCGACCTGACGTGTCAGGTCGGTGAAGGATCTGTTTCAGCGGGTAGGCGGTGAGCACGGTTATTGAGTATTCGAGAAAGTACGACCTTAATTTCCGTGCGGCACTCACTAAGGCGAACGCGAGTTTCTCCATTGGCGGGTATCGCAGCTCGGCATCATGGAGTGCCTTGCTTACGTAGTAGACTGGATGTTGAGAAGATTCATCCTCTCGGATGAGGGCGGCGCTGATAGCCACGTCGGAGACTCCCTGATAAAGGAAGATCATTTCTCCAGGTCTAGGTTTCTGCATGGTCGGAGCCCAGCATTAGGTCTCTTTGATAGCTTCCAACGCTTGCTGGCACTCTGGGGTCCATTCGAACTTGTGATTCTTCTTGATTGCGTCGAAGAATGGCTTACACCGGTCTGTCGACTTCGAGATGAATCGACTGAGCACGGCGAGTTTGTCGGTCAGACTTTGTACCCCTTTGATTGAGGTCGGCGGTCGGAGGTCTTAAACGACCTTAATCTTTTCGGGATTGGCGTCGATGCCGCGCTTGCTGACAATGTAGCCCAAGAATTTTCCCGAGCCGACACCAAAGGTACTTTTTTTGGGATTTAACTTCATGTTGTAATCACGCAAAATAGAAAACATTTTATTGAGGTCATTAACATGGTCGGATGCATACACGGATTTGACTAACATATCATGTACGTACACTTCCATGCTAACACCTATCAAACTAGCAAACATCTTATTGACTAGGCGCTGATAAGTGACCCCGACATTCTTCAGTCCAAACGGCATCATGGTATAACAATAGAGTACGCGTGCCGAGTAGAAGGAGGTATGTTCTGCGTCGTCCGGGTGCATAGGGATCTGGTTGTAGCCGGAGTATGCATCCACGAAGCTCATCAGTTCGTGCCCCGAGGTGGCTTCTACCATATAGTCGATGTGGGGTAGGGGGTAACTATCTTTGGGGCATGCCTTGTTGAGATAGGAAAAATCGATGCAAAGGCGCTATGCCCCGCTGGCCTTCTTCACAAGTACTGGGTTGGCGACCCAGGTCGGGTACCGAACCTCTCGAATATAGTCATTGTCCTTGAGTTTGATCACTTCTTCTTCGAGAGCTTGTTGCCGGTCTGGGCCCATCTTCCTCCTCTTTTGGACAACCGGCCTGACTGTGGGGTCGACCTGCAGCCTATGGCAGGCGACCTTTGGGTCAATGCCGACCATGTCCTCATGGGTCCACGCGAATACATCTGCGTTTTCTCGAAGGAACCTGGTTAGCTCGGCCTTCAATGGCGCCGACAATTTACTGCTGATCCGGAGCTGCTTTTGACAGGTCTCCTCGTCAATGAAAATGACCTCAACCTCGTCCATAGGCTCGGCCCTTTTGGTGCCCCTTTTTTCTTCGTATTGAGTTCGGGGGTCGAGTTCGTCTTCCTCCGAGACCGGCTCCTTGCCAGCTCTTCGGCCTCTGTCTTGGTCCAGGTTGGCCCTGGACTCTTTTTCCTGCTCGGCGTTCGTGTCAACCTAGGGGAGCGGACCTATCTAGATTTCCAGCATGCGGTCGCCAACCGGGCCAGGCTGAACCACCTCGGCATTTCGGTCCAAGTGGCCTTCTATGACCTCTGCTACACCTTCCGCCTCGGTGCCTCCGACGAACTGGTCGGCACTTGGCATGATCAGGAGGGGCGAACCTATCTAGTTTCCCAGCATAAGGTTGCCCCCTTCCCCTTCGTGGGTCGGCTCGACGTCCGCACCGGAGTTGGTGTTTATCTCCGAGACAGTCAGCTTGGTTTTCCTCGTCTCGGCTTCGGGGACAGAGTTGGCTGTATTGATCTCGGTCTGCGGGATGGTCAGGACGCATTCCCGTGCTTCTCTCTGATCTCCTCGATGGGTCCATTCCCCGTCCGAGGTCGGGAACTTAATGGAATAATGGAAAATGGAGACGGCACCCCTCAGCTTATAGAGCGCCGTCCTGCCCAGGATGACGTTGTATTCACTCGGGCAGTCCACTATCTTGAAAGTTTCCAGTATCATCCGCGTGGGCTGCCCCTTCTCTCGAAACCTGATCGGCAACGTTACTTGACCAACGGGGGTCGTCATTTGTCCATTAAACTCCTGGATCCACTCTCGGCAGGGATGCACCTCCTTTCTTTCGATCCCCATCTTCTTGAATGTGCTATAGTACAGGATACTCGCGTAGGCCCCGGTGTTGACCATTATACGGTCGATTTTTATCGCCATTATTGGGGCCGTGATCACCAGGGCGTCTGAGTGGGGGTGGTCGAACAGGAATGCGTCCTCGTCACTAAAGGAGATTTTGTTGGGTGTTGACTCGACTGGTGGCCTGCTTCCGACGTGCATCACTCTCTGCCCGGCATGATAGGCCTGTCGGGCATAAGCCTTTGTCTGTCTCCTCTAAAGGAGGGAATCACCTCGGCTCGTGTTTACGCGTCGGGGTGAGAAGTCAGTCCGGTCGGTCCCCAGCTATGGGGACCAATCTCTTTTCTTGCCCACATAGGTGCCGGCCTCGCCTTAATGGGTCGGGTTGAACATCATGATCTCATTAGGGGCGCCCTGCTGTGGCTTTTTCCTTCGAGGGTTCATGTCGGTATACTCATCGCTGTCGAGGCCGTCCCCGATGCGGCATCCCTTATTTCTTTTCTCACCGAAGTGAGTGAACTTCTTGACCTGCGGGTCATCAATCAGCTTGAGCAGCGCCACGATCAAGTTACGGCACTGGTCTGTGTTATGTCCGTGAGCCTTGTGATAGGTATAGTATCGGGACTTGTCCACCTTGTCTTTGTCGGTGAACATGAGTTTTGTGTCAGGCAATAACCCTTTTGTTTTGATTTCCTCGTAGACTGCGGCGACACCCACAGAGAAGATGCCCTGGAAGCTTTCTTTGAGCTCCTCAGCTCTCTGCCTTCTCATGGCCCGGACCTCAGCGAATGACTTGCCGGGCTTGCCTGATTTCTCCTTATTTTCATCCTTGCTTGATGCTACATCCAACACCGGGATGGATGAGGACTCCTCTGCTATAATGTAATTTTGGGCCTTGGTGAAGAATTCCTGGTAGGTGGTTGGTTTGTTCTGGCACAGGGACCAATTGAACAGAGTTTTCAGCCTCAGGCCGGCTTGCACAGAAACGAGTAGGGTCTCCAGGTGGCACTGCTCCATATTTTGGACTCGGTCATTGAACCTAGTGATGTAGTCTTTCAGGCTCTCGTCCTCGCCTTGGACGATATTCGCAATTGACTCTTTGGGGGCTAGATTGATCTACGATCTGATGAAGTGTGATCGGAACGCCGACCTGAGTTGCCCCCAGGTGGAGATGGAGTGTGGATATAGGGAGTGGTACCACCTCTGCGCTTTCGGTCCCAACGTCAGGGAGAACATGCGGCAGCGCAGGGCGTCGGTGGCGTCGTGCAAATCCATCCAAGATGTGTAAAGGCCGATGTGAGAGTCGGGGTCCGAACCCCCATCGTAGAGTTCGAGCTGGGGTACTTTGATTTTTTAGGGCAGGGGCTCGCCCAAGATGTTAGGGGAGAGAGGTGAAGCATGATCCACGACCCAAGGAGTGGGCCGCGAATAGTGCGACGGCGATGTTCTTCCCTGGGGGGAGTGCCGACCTTCCAGCTCGGCAATTCTGCGTTTGAGGGTCGCGACCTCATTTGTGTCGCGCCCAATGGTTTTACCTCGCTTAATGACGTCCCTGAGGTCGCGGTTGGCCTGGGTCTTATCGCCTAGGCGCTGGTACACGGAGCGACGTATGACCTGCAGGCTCCGGTCTGGCTGGCTTTCCCCAGTCTGCTCGGTGGGCACCGGTCTTGCGCTTTTCTCACGTCGTTCTAGGGCGTAGCGGTTGGGGGACTGAGCCGTCGTCTTGGAATTGGCAGGTTTTTTCTTCTTTTGCTCCCCGGCCTCCTTGTCGGGGGTCTGAAGCAGAGTGTTGCCGGGGTTCTTCGTGGCCGCCACGGTGTTTCCCCCAGGTGCCTGGCTTGCAAGGGCCTTAGCGAAGACTCCTTCTAGGGCTTTGAGGACATTGGGAGGCTGCATGGCTGCAGCAAAAGTCGGGACAGGAGGGACGGGAGCTTGAGTCCCTTGCTGGTTGCGGCGAGAGGTCTCTTTCCCGTTGCGCCGGCGAGACTGAGCGCCGGCTGGGTTGACTCGTCGTGACTGGATGAAGCCATCTTGAACGAGATTCGAGGTAAATGAAAGGGGGTGAGTATGGGGTTTCACAAGATCGAATAATTGACACCAAATAACTTCTGGTGCCCTCCTTCTAGCGCCAAACTGTTGACGAGCGTTTTCGGTCAACGGTTAAAATGGTAAATGTTGAAAGTACAAGACTGGAAACAAAGGAAATATATGGCTTAATTACGATATTATTAAATGATCACGAGGTCGGCCTCTCGTACGAGGTCGGCACTTGCGATATACTTACAATCCTTACAGAATATTTCTTACAGTTTTAGAGAGAAAAAGTAGAGAGAAGGTAGAGTTAGTTGAGGTTCAACAACCCAAAATAAATGAAATGAGCTGCTATTATAGTATCCTTAAACGAGGTACTGTTCAGCTACTGTTCATCGGTCTTGTCGTACAGTAATCTTGCAGAGCAGTTCGGCGTCTCCCTGACACCTATTTAATGCGATTTGAGGTTTTTTCAATCATTGCTTGTCAGGCATTTAATGCAAGCATAGGGGGCATTTAATGCTGACAGGCTTCCTTGACTAGGCTTGCTTGTAGGGTGCCAGGCTTTGATAACCCGACCCATCGTCCAATGATGACCTTCCAAGTGGAAATATTTTAATGTTTACCGAGCCCAATCCTAGCCTTCGGGGTGGCCGCGGCCGACCTTCAGGTCGGTACTTTTTCCGAATGCGCTTATATGACATCCCGGATCCTTCTTTCAGCCCGGCACTTATCCACCCCAGCTCGTTCACACACGAGCCGGGGTGCCGGCCTCGGAAAATGCTTCCATAGAGATCTTGAGCACTTTGTTTCCCATTTCAGCTCGGCACTTCTACTTCAGACCAGGTCCTAGGCCCGGGTTTTGATACGCGATGTCTTTCCGGTTCAATCTTGGCTAACTCGGATATCAACAGACCTCATCGGCCATTACTCTGTTTTTGGTTTTTGACCTCACCGGCGGTTACTTGGTTTCGACCTCAGTGTTTTCTCGATTCTCAGTGTTCGACCTCAGCGATCTCTTGATTCTCGGCTTTCGACCTCATCGACAATTACTCGGTTTTTGGTTTTTGACCTCAGCGGTCTCTCGATTCTCGGCTTTCAACCTCATCGGCAATTACTCGGTTTTTAGTTTTCGACCTCAGCGGTCTCTTGATTCTCGGCTTTTGATCTCATCGGTGATTACTCGGTTTTCGGTTCACGACCTCAGCGTTCTCTCGATTCTCGGTTTTCGACCTCATGGGCGATTACTCAGTTTTCAGTTTTTGAACTCAGCGTTCTCTTGATTCTCAGCTTTCGACCTCATCGGCGATTACTCGGCTTTTGGTTTTTGACCTCAACAGTCTCTCGATTCTCGGCTTTCTACCTCATCAGCAATTACTCGGTTTTCGGTTTTTGACCTCAGTGTTCTCTCGGTTTTCGGTTTCGACCTCAACGGTTGATCAATCGACTTCGACCTCAGTGGTCATTCAATTTTGGCCTCTGACCTCAGGGTCATTCGATGTTCGACCTCAATAGCAGATCATTCAGTTTTCGATCTCAGTTGTCGTTTGACTTTCGGTGTTCGACCTCAGTGGTAGGTCATTAAGTTCTTGTCTTTATTGACAAATCTTTCGGTTTTCGACCCCGGCGTCCGATCATTCGGTTTCAGACCTCCGTGATCTTTCAGTTTTCAATCTTGAAATCTCAATGCTCATCTAGAGGTTATATCAGTGGTTATTCAATGTTCATTCGACTTTCGGTGGCCGATCTTAGTGGCAAGTTGAAGAAAACAGCTCGAAGAGGCATTTCACTCTTGGATCGAGTTATGATTACTCGACCAGAGTGGAGGAACTAGATGATATAGGATATTATACTAGATCGGGTTTAATGGAAAAAACGAATACATATTGGAGGATAAGCCCATATATGAAATAGGACATATAGCATATCGATATGGGCCAAGCCCAACTTGAGCCCAAAAAGTAACACTCCCCCTATAAAAGGGGGCTAAGGTATCTCATTCTTTCATTCTCTCCTGATTCATTTACTACACTTTTTCTCTCTATCATCTGATCGGGTACTGACTTAGGCATCGGAGGCCCGACGCCGGGACCTCTCCTGGCGTTGGGTTCTTGTAGGTGCGGAGGTCATTCGAGTTTAAAGAGCCCGGGTAAAATTCAGTACACTCGTATTAATGATGATGATGATGATGTTGATGATGATGATGAGCAGACGTATGACTCAGACTTTATTGCAGCTGAGCAGCAAATTATATCTCCTGACCCGCAGCCACAGCCACAGCTACAGCCACAGCCACAGCCACAACCACGGTCACAGCCACAACCACGTCCAGAAAAATGACTCAGCCCGGCTGACCCTCAACGACAGGCTGGGGGCCGTTATACGAGTGCTGGACCATCCTCAGATAAATGATTTACATATTTATCATTGTTCTGAAAACCGGAGCCGACCAGACCGTCCGGTTCAACCAGTTGGACCGGGAACCGGTCGTCGTTCCGGTCCGGCTTGAATCATCAAACCGCTGAGCGTGAACCGGTCCAAAACGTTCGAACCGGTGAACCAGGGACCGGTTCAACGTTGAAGCGTTTGAATTTGAAATTAGTTGATTGTGAAGTGATTTAAATAACAAATTTTAATTTTTACTTGTGTTCCCAATGTTGGATATATTCACTTGCTAAAAATATTTGGCAAATATTGGGCCTTATAAGAAATATTGTAGTCATAAAAAAATTATTATTTTATAGATTGGACTATCTATTGAGCTATGTCTATTTTAAATTATTAGAAAACAGATAAGCAAGTTAATGTATATTTTTTAAAAAAATAAAAAATAAAAAATAAAAAAATTAAAATGTGATAAAAAAATTAAAAATATGGTTGTTTATATTATCTGTATTTTGTAACTTAAATATATATAAAAATTTTAAATATAAATATTAAAATAAAACATTGTCAGTTGTATCTATTATTGAGTTATTATTTAGAGAAATTTCATACACTATAAAATTAATAGAATTAATGATAGAAAATATATAAATATATATTATACATATAAAATAAATAAAAATTTCTATATCAATTAAACCGGTTTGACCGCTGGTTCTGCCAGTAGCTTACCGGGTCGATGACCGGTTCGCTTTTTCAGAACCACCATTAGATATTATTTTATTTCATAATAGCGCATCATTGATACAGTCAATCACAATATGTCGTATATATATTATTTGTTATATTCTAATACAAGTGCGACTAGCAAACGCACTAAGAGTGACGACTGGATAGTTAAAGGCCCAGTGCGGAGTGGCCCCGTTGACGGGAGTGCTATCCCTAGCTTTCTAGGACACGTAGCCTCTGCCATGTGGGATGGAGTCTTCAGAGGCATGTTGAAATGCCAAAATATGATGGTAGCGCACAAGGTTTTGAGGGAGTGGCTCGGAGAAATGTGTCAGTCTGCGCGCTCTGATCCTTTCGAGTGGGTTGTCACATTTGGCGTCTGCCATGCATTTTCACGTCGACACTCCACTTCTTTGTGCATTTGTGGAGCGCTGGCAGCTGGATACCAACACGTTTCACCTGCCTTGTGGTGAAATGAGTATCATGCTGCACGACGTGAAGGCCATATTAGGGGTTCCTGTGGAAGGAGCGGTAGTCACCGGGGACCCCGACAGCCTGACCTGCCAGGCGCATTGCATGGAGCTCTTGGAGGACAAGGCTACTCTGATGGACAACTTTTGGGCTCACGCTTCGGTGACGAATGTCGCTGTTTCTTAGGCATTGACGAACAATGGCGCAAATCGGTCGGATCAACATGTGGCAGCTGGCTGGATGTGGGTGATGCTCGCTACCACCTTGTTTACAGACAAGAGTGGTAACATGGTCAGTCACAAAATTCTGAAAGAGCTGCTCGAGGACGTGCGGGGAGTTGGGGCTTACTCCTGGGGCTCGGCTGGACTGGCGTACCTGTACAGACAGTTGGGTATGGCCAGCAGGGGGGACGGTTCGGGACTGGCGGGTTGCTTGACTCTCATGTAGTCCTGGATATATGAGTATTCCCCCACCTTACGACCCGACCATGCGCGTATGACCCTCGAGCCTGGCTGTGTCGCCCGGTCAGCCTTGTGGAGCACCCCCGTCCCGGACAAAGTAGACGCGCCTCGATGATTTCCATAGGCGGTTGACAGTCACCGCCGCAGATGTACGTTAAGTTATTTTACTTACATTTAGTTGAAAGTTATTTGGAATATTTGAATTGTTTCAATAAAAGTTTCTGTGCAAATGTGAACAGGTGAACTGACTGCCATATGACCGCAAGCCGCATGAGGTAGAGCCTAGGACCCTTTATGCCGGATGCCTTAGGTACCGGGATATTGTGGAGCCTTACATGCCTGTGCGTTGTTTGCGTCAGTTGGGCTACGTCCAGACTATCCCTCCTCGCATGGTGCGTCCCACAAATGTAAACCGTGCTTGGCAATCTAGGATGTACAGGGTTGAGCATGCTAATGTTGCTGCTGAAGATACCTGGCTCCAGTTCCCAGTGCTTAATTGTTTGAACTTGCCTGTTTTTATGGAGATCCCCTCAGATGATCGAGGACAGGCCCATGAGGACTATCAGGGATGGTATGCGAAGGATTCTTAACCTAGACTCCTGCCTGACAGTCAACCGGACGACGACGTGGTCCTTGCACGCGCCAACATCGATTACGTAAGTCGTTTATTGAATTTTAGTTAATATTCTTTCATTCGATTTTTTTTAAATTAATATGTCATCATGTATTTTAATTATTCTATTTTGTGTGATGGGTCGGCCAGTACCTAGCCCTTGCGTCAGACCATCTGCGGCGATTGGAGAGTGATGGTTCTTATTGGGTTGCGTATTTTGCACATGCGCTGAACCTACTTA